CCAGCCGATTTCACCAACACCGTCCTGCCAGGGCCGCCCCTCTCCCAGTTGTGTCCCTGTCCCCAGCCAGCTTGTTCGCACCCCTGGGGCCAGTCCCCGAGCCCTCGTCCACTCACTGTCCCCAGTGAAGCCACAGGCAGCTCAGTCACACGCAGACCTAGGTTACGGCAGCACCCCGAGCCCTCAGCCTTCTCCATTGCTCCCCAATCCCCACTGCCTGGGCGATTCCCGGCCAGTCGTTAAGGTGAGAGCAACCAGCAGCGGAAGGAGGTGTAACCCACGGGCTTTCAACATTTTTCAGTGTGTAGACTCCTAATATTTCCCAGGGGAAGTACAGATCGGAGGTACAGAAAATGCATACGCCTAGAGAATTGCATTGCATGTACAAAGTTGCTTTTCTCAGTGAGTTTTAAAGACTCCTTGAAACAGAGCACAGACCTCTAGGAGTCCATGGCATAACCAGTGCGCAACTGGTTTCAACAGGTATCCATACAGAAACAAGAATGGCTGATCGATGCATGTGCTACTTTTTCTAAAAAGAGCAGTAAGGAGGCAGCGCTGGGGCTTGAGCATCTGCAAGTGAGCACGTGCACACGCGGGCCCCGACCGGCTGCGTGCTGAGTGCCGAAAAAATGCGCGCTGCGAACGCCACGCACAGCCTGCTCCCCGAGCAGAGCTAAGGTCATGCTGACGCGCGTCCCTTGCCACCTCCCCTGGCAGGACATGCAGGTGCTGCTACACTCACGACTTCTGGCGTGCAGGTGAACGTCTGTGGCGGTATCTGGATGAGGAGGGACAGGGCTGCATTGAGAAAGCTCTGGCGCAGTCCCAAGACCAGAAGCTTGTCCAGCAGTGGAGGCAAAGCAGAGGGGGACGAGTCATGGGGGATGATGCTGCCTCCCACCTGCTTCACTGCACCCTGCAAAGAGAGGTGACACTGACCTTAAACCGACCCTTCAAAGCCACGAGGAGTGCCCAGATCCTCGAGACAGAGTGCAGGGTCTGGGCCAGCTGAAACAGCCCTCCTCTCGCCAGCAGCTTAGGGAAAGCATTGACCCGGAGCAATTCCCTCTATATTTAATAGATGAAAGGAGCTGATAAAGGCCAGAGTGCGTAACTGGGGCCTTCTTAGCTAATAACATACTTCATCCAAATCACAACTCGCTGCTTCAGTTCATCCTTGAGATTTCACTCCAAGAGCAAGCGAGCGGGAAGGTGCTGCCAGCCCGGTGGCCCCAGCCCTGCCCTCCCTCCCTCCAGCGCCCGGCCAGGCGCGAGCCGTCCTCGGACTCTAAAACAAACTTGCACCGATACCATTTACTTGCTAAGGAGACCAGCTGGGGGTGGTGGGGGCAAAGACTGATCCCGATGAAGTACCTGCACTAAAGCAAGAGCAGCAGCGCTGATCGTACAAGACTGCGGTGTTTGTTATTAGCTCTTGCTATTCTTTATTGCTTATGTCCCAGTTGCTTCTCGCTAGCCCCTTTCTTTTATTTAAGCTCTCCTGTTTGAAAGTACTGTTTGGTTTTTGCTGGTTTTTTTCTTTCCCAGTGAGACAGGAGTGAAAAATACATCCAGTAGCTTGGTTCACCATTCACCCGCCATAGAGACTGAATAGCGAAGGCAAAAAGCCGCAACACCCCGTCTGCGGGCAGGGCGAGGGAGAAGGTGAAAACCGCTTGTCACAGTTACAGACAGCAGGCACGCAGCCTCAGGCAGTCTCAGGATAAGTGTGCAAACAGAGCAAAAGAGGGCTTGAAAAAAAGGACACACAGTCACTTAGTGGTGATTTGGATAAGGATCTAAATATTCAGCTAGCGTTTCCAGAACAAGTCATTAGCCCAGGTCCTCCATGTGGTTGTACTGGAAGAAGACAACTGCTCCCATGGGATGAGGTGAACAGTCTGAAAGGCACCGCAGTCACGCTCGCAGGGTCCTGTTGCCCAGCATTAACTTACGTCTAAATCCAACCCAAGGAACAAGCCAGAGGTAAACGGGAGGCTGGCCAGCTGGTAGTGAATCGTTCCTGCCGTACCGACTGGGATCACCGCTTCACGGAGAAAAAAGATCGTTACAACATCAGGAAAAAAGCAGCAACACAAACTCTCCCCTGACCCCGCAAGGCCACCAGCCAGACCTCACACCCACAAACCAGGTCCCGAGCATTCCCTTCTGTGGGATGCTCGCTGCTACTCAAACTGCCAAAACATCCCCAAATTCAGCTTCGTGGGACCTGCCTTTAGAATACAGCCCAAAAAGAGCAAAGGTAATAAGCTAAATCCAAGGGTGATGTATGAAAATGGTGTAAGGAGGGCCAAGGTGGGAGCAGTCCACTCGGAGTGCCCGGGTGTGAATTCGAGGTGCAATAACAGTCCTGCAGAAGTGCAGCTCCTCCCCGATGCACCTCTGGACCAGACGGGGGAAAGGGCGCTTCCCACGGCGGGG